AATTTTCACAGTCACTTTAACTTAACTACTTTTATAAACACACGCTATAATTCAAAGCAATTCATACACTTTACTTACAGTGCCTAATGTTCGCTTGACTCAATTATCAATTATTTCTCTTCAATCTATCTTCGGCTTATATACTAAAAAAAAGAGGGCGTCTAGCAAACGCTGGGACATTCGTGAGGTTGCCCGATAAGTCACGATCCTTCTAGAAACTCCAGCGTCGCGTGACTTCCGCTGTCGTAACAATACAAAGGCGTTGTGTACAACATTTGTAATTGAAGTAAATCGATTCTTCGTCAAATATCATAAAGTGTTTCGTATATCCTTCTCTTTTAATTCATTTTCTATTATTAGTAGCTTTAGATCAAAGTAAACCTACGATATAAATGTGTTTGTCGTGCAGCACAAAGCTATACAAAGCTATCTGAAAGTACTGAAACCCGGTTTTTACCGTTAAAAATCTTGAGGCTTGCCGCTGAGCTACTAGGGGCGTATAAATTATAGCTAAAAAAAAAAAAAACTCAAAATAACATGTACGATAATGAAGACAATTCGGTATAACTGACAGGCTGTAATTATCTATCAATTAATAAGTCGCTAAATTTCAATTTATAATACTAATTATAATGGATAGTGTACCTCCCTTCGGTGCTAGTATACCTCCCCCCCCACACCTCTTTAAGAACGGACATTTTTTTAAAGTTAATTAACAACTGGTACGTGTAAGAAATCACTTGAAACCCGTGGTTTATCTGGTTTAATCAGGAGTTTAATTCAGTTTACTCTAGATATATGTCACTGGAAAGTGTAATAAAAAGTGCGAAATGAAGCGCACGAGCGAAAGCGATCACGCGACGGTTTTCGTTTATTTCACTGCGACAATAATGTATTGGTTTCAATTTCTGACAGTGGAACTGTCGTCGGCTCGAGTCACGTTAATCTTGAGTGTAGTGTTCGTGTTGGTTTACATCGTAAGTTGGTGGTGGTTGGCCTTCTCAATCAACCAAGCCAGAGAGGACGTAAGTATCATTTTAATTGCCCCTCAAATACACTCGTTGTCTTTCTTATTGCCCAAAACTAGAATATGAAACAAGTTAAAAAATAGGTAGATGAACAAAACTATAACAATCTTTTAATTTTTTTATAAAAGCCTGCAAGTAGTCACTGATCTTTTCCCGCCTAAAACGGTGCACAACTTAAAACCCAACTTTAATTTTTTTGTTAAAAAGAAATTAATAGTAAAAGTAAAAAATTGTTAAGCCTAATCAGTCATTCAATTTTGTATTTATTTAAAATTTTTCAACAGCTTATGTGACTCAATAATTCACAAGAATAATTGCTACATATTCTTGAAATTTCTATATAGATATAAGCTCACTCTGGTGAGTAAAAAAAAAACATCCCAAAACATAATATATATTCAACAGATTAGCATTCTTGTTCGCTATAAAAAATTTATAATTATAGTTAATATAAGATTCAGCGTTTAATGTAACTCAGTGTTATTCTTATCGATTTCTTGTTGTTTTCTAGCGTTGTTGTATCATTTTGTCTTAACCCTGCGTTAGTCTTCTGTAAAATTTTCCCATAGTCACTCTTAATTTAAAAATATTTAAATAATGATAAACTTTTATTTTGGAAACAAATAAACGCTAATACTTAAAATATTTTCCTTATTAATCAATAAATGAACATTGAATATTGCAACTTTTTTATTTTTGGAACAATAAACGTGTATGTGCTTCCATCTGTCGACAACGATGTTTACAAAATATTTGGGGTCCGTGAAGACCCCGGAAGACTAATGCAGGGTTAAAAGCTACTTTTACTGTTTCTTGTGTTATTTTACCGTTTTCTTATCATTTTTAATGCTATTTTTTAATCCTGTTTAGATAAATGAAACTGGGGATGCTGAATATATATTTTTTCTAACGTTCTTGTTATGTAATTGCGTGCAACCTATATGCCGTTTATGTAACAGTAACACGTTAATTGTATTAATGTATTGCTAACGCACAGAATCGTATTATATTCTCAATCTAAAGTCTGACAGGGCCTAGTGGTTATAGCACTCATCTCGCAATCTGCAGGTCGCGAGTTCGAATCTCGTCACCGAACATGCTTGGCCTTTCATCCATCTGGGTGTTATAATGTGACAGTCAGTTCCACTTTTCGTTGTTAAAAGAATGGCCCAAAAGTTAGCGGTTGGTGGTGTTGATTAACTGTCTTCCCTGCAGTCTTTTGCTTTTAAATTAGGGAAGGTAAACGGAAATAGCCCTCGCTTTGCGCGAAATTTAAGAAATAAAGAAATCATTGATCTAAAATGTTTATTTAGATTATAAAATAAATTTACTTGATAACCTTTTTTACCCATAATTACTACATCAGTTTGTTTTTTATCTGTTGCTGCTTCCTTTAGTCCTGGTCCAGCATGGCCAGGTGATTAAGGCACTCGACTCGCAATCTGAAGGTCGCGGGTTCGAATCCCTGTCACACTAAACATGCTCGCCCTTTCAGCCGTTATAATCTGACGGTTAATCCCTCTATTTGTAAGTAAAAAGAGTAACCCAAGAGTTTGCGGTGGGTGGTGATGACTAGTTGCCTTCCCTCTAATCTAACACTGCTAAATTAGGGACGGCTAGCGCAGATAGCCCTCGTGTAGCTTTGCGCGAAATTCATAAAAAAAAATCCTTTGGTCCAATAAAATTGTTATCCTTTCCCCTTATCTGTTTGTCGATAAATCTGTGTAAATTGTGTTACTAGTTATTTTTTACTATTATTCTTTTTAACCAAGAAACCACAACGAAGAAACCTGTGTCAGATTTCAGGTTATTCCTTTAAAAATATAGATGGTAGGCTTAGTTTTGACTGAAATTAGAAACCCATGCTCCTCTCCAGGTGGCAGTAAAGTATTGTTTTCTCGGAATTTTCACGCAAACCTACATAGATGTCCATAATTTCGAACTGATAGACTAAAAGAAAGGTAGCTAGCCAAAAATACCCACCGCAAACTCTTGGGCTATTCTTTGTTTGACCAAATAGTTTGCCCTCACTGTCCCAGAATCCTGGGGGACGTTTCTACGGTAACGAGATGTGCCTCACAAGCCTTCGAATTCACAGTACGAGTATGCTAGCTACTAGACCACGCCTGACTTCGCGATAAAGGACTTGAGGATCACTTTAGGGAAACCTTTCCTTAAGGGGTTTGGAGTATTTTTCGACTTTTGTAGCTCTGAATAACTTGTATCACAGTGTCATAAAAGATTAATAATACCTCTAATGTTGTCAAAGGTTTGTTTCTGTTCAACAACAACAAAAAGACGAACGAAACGCTCTTCCAGGTATTTGTTTTGAGGTCTAAGAAGTGACGTTTCAGAAAATTTCTTTTGATGTTCTAAACACTTAATTCGTTGTTTTTTATGGAATATAATAACACCAGTTACTACTTCAGGATGTCACTGGTTTACTAGCAGCACAGTTCACCAACTGTAGAACTTTGTTGTTTTTTTCTTGAGCAGCTAATATTATGTTTTCCCACAGGGTGGCGTTTCACTGAAAACAGTACTGTTACTTGCTGTATTTGCTGCCGTAGACATCGCCGCCAGTGCTGGCTTCGTGTTGCTACGCGTTATTATGGTGAGTAGACATTTACTCCTCCCTCTCCCCCTCCTTGGGGACCATCTTTGGATTTGGTAGTAAAACTATGTGTTGATCGTCGTCCAAATGATACACTCCACCAAATTTAATTTTGTATTAGCTGATTATAACATAAAGTAACTGATTTTTATACTTTAAAGATATTATTGTTTCTAGGGGTTAAATTTCCAAGATTGATTCCAAGTTGTTTTAATTAATAAACGAAAGTTGAAATATTTTATCACCAGTTATACAAAGAAGAAAGTGTATAGGGTGAGGGCTAATGTTTCCCTGTCGACTAGGCATACCCTATTCTTTAATGTTAGCCTACTATATGGATTTAGGCCTAATATAAATATCCTATACTGTTCATACCTCTTGTGATATTATTGGAATTATTATAAAAACAACTGTTATAGTGTCAAATCATTTTCCAACCTAGCGAAGCAAAATTACAATTAAATATAGTTGTCATAACACTTTTTTTTTCAAACTGCATTCTGTTACTACTCGTTTAGGAATATTCGAGAATGTTTAATGTATCCAATTTATTAATTTTATTCTCTAAATATCGTACGTTTATTAAAGAGATTCATTTTGCGTTGTTGGCTTGGAATATGAATTTATGAGTAGCATAAGTCTCCTAAGCTGGTCGTACCTTTTGTGGTATTATTGGGTTTACGGTCGAAAATATCGTTAACAGCGAGAGTTCGAAAATAATATAACAGTTAATCATAATAAGTAAGAATATAAGATAAATGTATTTAATTAGCTATGCTCATTACCGAGTTGGTTTTTAGTTTTAAATAGGAAGGTTGCTCTGATCAAAAGTTAATATTAATTAATGTCATATATTTAATGACATTGACACGAGTTAATATAGTAAAAATGACTGCAAAGTCGGATTAACTTTTAATCCAAGATTAATGTAAGATAGGGAGGATTACATAGTAGTAACAGGATACAACAAACTTAAAACGTAAGTGCTTTTCTTTTTTATCTCCAAACTTGTTTTCCTTTCCAGTACGTGATGAGGGACCGTTTCTATCCGTGGGACATGCGTGCCCCTTCGGCCGTTGTCGAGACCGATTCTATAGCAGGCCATACAGCTCTTCGCTTACTTACTATACAGGTACGGCGAGGCTTAAGTCTGCGGTTCACGTGATGTCAGCGAACTCGATACTAATTATTCAAGTTGGCAGAATTCCAGGTTGCCTTTCTCCGTTGAAGTGATGAAACTGAGATGAGGCTTATCATAAACTAATATTAATATAATTATACTGCTTAAAAATTGCGAAAATTATAATAGATATATTTAAGTAACATAAACTACAACTTCAATAACTGTTCTGATTAATTTGATAAGAAGAAACTGGAGGCTGCTAGGAATGATTTAAAAAAAGATTACTTGTGGAAACAGTACATTTTTCAACATCTTTCTTACCCCAATATTTTTTTTTATGATACAGTCCAGTTGCGGTACCAACGACATCATGGTAGCGATCATCGTGGGCTTCCTCACAGGCTTGAGGGTGAGTTTTACACACTTTACATTACTTAGACACTACATTGAGACCTCGTTACATAGTTCCTATACGTTAGGCCTTGTTGTATAGTTACTGTAAGTTAGGCCTTGTTATATAGTTACTGTATGTTAGGCCTTGTTGTATAGTTCCTGTACGTTAGGCCTTGTTGTATAGTTACTGTAAGTTAGGCCTTGTTATATAGTTATTGTATGTTAGGCCTTGTCATATAATTACTGTACGTTAGGCCTTGTTGCATAGTTCCTGTACGTTAGGCCTTGTCGTGTAGTTACTGTACGTTAGGCCTTGTTGCATAGTTCCTGTACGTTAGGCGTTATTACATCGTTCTTATACGTTAGGCCTTTTTGCAAATTTCCTGTACGTTAAGCGTTATTACATCGTTCTTATACATTAGGCCTTATTACATCGTTCTTAAACATTAGACTTTGTTGCATAATTCCTGTACCGAAAGGTCGCAAATAAAACATATTTTAACGTAGAATAGCGTTTCCTAAACTGGAAATCCTAGGATTCCGTACGATTTATCCAGGAGTTCCGCGGAGACAATTTTTTGTAGTGTAGTCGGAGTAAAGGAGTAGGCCAGGTATAGGTAAGACTTAAAAACTCGTCGGCCCATAATTCGTACCACCCAGTATTCTCCGGTAGTTTATCCGGAATTAGATATGAAATTAGATGGGGGGGCTAACCCCCTCATGAACTTTCGCATCTCATCCTATATCACTGTGTCAAGTTTGGTGCTGGTTTGATAGTTTTTCCAACTTAAATATGTTTTAGGGGTGGCTAAACCCCCTCATGACCTTCCACGTATCATCTTGTATCAAAGTGTCAAGTTTTGTGCTAATTTGATAGTTTTTCCAAATTAAATATATTTTAGGGGTGTCTAAACCCCCTCATGACCTTCCACGTATCATCGTATATCACTGTGTTAAGTTTTTTGCTGATTGATCAAGAAATGTGGAAACGTATAAGAAACAGACATACAGACACATATTGATGTTTATTTATATAGAATTGTGTTTATTGTCTTTGCGTCATGTTTAGCTCTATATTTTCTGTTGTGTTTATTGTCTTTGCGTTATGTTTAGCTCTATATTTTATGTTGTGTCCAGCATTGTGTTTGTATTATTTGTCCGTTTCTCTAGAAGTACTTAAGAATATAATTATACATCCAGTCAAATGGAGTTTTGTTCAAATCAGCGTTCCTACAAGTCGTGCACGTTGTCAATATATACTTAATTTGTCTGTGTCTTTTACAAATAGAACTTCCGAGTTTAAATTTGAGGACTATTTGTTTTTATAATTTTCTAGTGAACTTAATAAAATATATTATTTAAGATATGTTTCTAAATTTTGCATCAGGCTGTTTATTTCGGTAGGAATGTTAAAAACATCATTTGTTTTGCCCTCGTCTAGAATTAATGACAGGGAAACTCATCACTTTGAAAAGAACAAAGAAAATATGCTACGCCACCTAGTGTAATTTTTCATTACTTTCAATCACGAGGATATGTAAAAATGTATGACCCAATTTTTTTCAGTTCCCTGTGCATTTCTCTTCCTTATAGTTATCTAAATAATTCAGATTTGTGGCATTCTACGTTATTTCTCTTTCGTAAAAAGTAATTATCTTAATAATCCTGTGGTTTTTACAGATATACAGTGTGGTATGTGTTTATTCATATTACAAGAAGGCTAAGAATGGAGTTGTAGATTCTGTTCAGAAGAGTAAGTAAAGAAACTTTGAGTTTTTTGTTCTTGTTAAGAACTTAACCTGTTGTGTTCGTAAAATACATTAATCAAACAAACAAAAAAGGCATTAATAGATAAAATAAAAGCCATTCATAGAACAAAGAAAAACATTAATAGCACAAAGAAAACATTAATAGAACAAACAAAATATATTCATAGCACAGTCAAAACGTTAATAAAACAAACAAAATACATTAATAGAACAAACAAAAACATTAATAGAATAACAAAATACATTAATAGAACAAACAAAAACATTGATAGAATGACAAAATACATTAATAAAACAAATAATATGAATAACAATGGTTAGACTTTGCTGCAGCATTTACCTACAACAGTTTAGACCACTCTACTATGTTAGATGACACATTTACCTACAACAGTTTAGACCACTCTACTATGTTA